GTGTGTGTGTGTGTGTGTGTATGTATGTGTATGTGTATGTACATACTATGCTTGACACACATCAGAAGCAGTTAATGAATTGCTGCTCTCAGGATACAAACCAATTAAGAACAAAATTATAGAAAAGCTAGGATCCTTCTCTTAGTTGCAAATGTCTAATCTGCACTTGAGTTCAGTATGAAATTCACTGGAGCTCACTGTTGAGATGTCATAAAAGAGGGCTTCTGTATTCATGGACTGGGATTATTTTCATGTGATTATTTACTTCTTAATTTATTTACCTAACTACCTTCAAAAATGTCAGGAGTCAAGCAACTTGAAAAGGAGGACACCTGGTGTTACATTTGGCTGAAACTGCAGGGCCAGTGGGCCATAGAAGTTCTGATATTCAATAACCAGAGCCTTCTTCCAGTTATTAGTGAATTTGGTTTAACAAGCATCCATGTGCTGCACTGGGGACATGGTTCCTGGATTTGGATAGTACCATGTGACCCATGTGGGCACACCCTATTATCTCAAGTTGAAGGTAGGTACTTTGCAAAATGATGCTTTAAATAAAATATGTTTTAATCACTTAATTATTATAAATACATAGCACTGAGAGAAGGAGCACATGGGAAAATTATCAAGGGAGAGATTCACAACTGTTAAAGAAGGGTCAGAAACATAGAATTTTAAAAAATGGTATTAATGAAGATTTGGTCAAGTTCCCATTCTAAAACACTGAAGGTTTCTGAGTAGACACAAACACATGTGTTAAACACTGTGCTCTAGTTCCTGGCAGCTCACCTTCAAGTCAGGCTCTAGTTTTGCAGGTTGGCCTTTATAAAGTCCCCTCGGACCACAATGATTTCTTCTGCAAAGCAGTGGAAATCGAAACAGTATTCCTGTTTGCCTCAGGTGATTTCAAGAAGCCAAAGTACTGACAAGCAATGGGAAAGCAGCTTACAAAACTCTGGAGGAGGATCCTCATGTTGGTAGTAATGACGTGCATGAGAGGACTGAGGGGGCATCTCATTTGCCCCCGTGTTCAGTGCTCAGGGGGTGGTGTAGGTAGAACTACTCTTTCCCAGGAGCAACAACAACAATAAGAGTCTCTATTAGTTTGCCTAGTGCTTATCATGTGCCAGGCACTGTTCTTTTCCAATCCATGCATCAACTCACTTTATCCATAAGCACCCTGAACATTGTTATATTTCCCTTTAACATGAAGAAGTTGAGACACAGAAGCTGGAGAGATGGCTCAGTAGAATAAGCGCTTCCCTGGCAAGTACAAGGGCCTGAGTTCAATCCCCAGTTCCGCAAAAGTAGTAGTAGTAGAAGAAGAAGAAGAAGAAGAAGCAGAAGGAGGAGGAGGAGGAGGAGGAGAAGTTGAGACACAGAATTCAAGAAATTTGTTCAATGTCATAAAGTTCTGAAATGATAGAGCCAGGATTTGGATCTACAAGTTTGAGTTCAAACTAGCACTCTTTAGCATGGAGGACAGCATCCAGGGAAGTGCTAGGCAGACAACGCAGCACCTTTGGTTCAGCGTTCTGCTAGCTCAGTCCTCCATCTAAAGCTTACTAAAACTGGGCATTGGCATAGATGGCTCACCCCCCCCCAGGTGGCTAGGGCTCCACTGCTATTTTTCTCTTTTTAGTTTTGGCTCAATGTAAAGAAAGCCAGACATGAGTCTTCTAATAACTGTTCCCCAAGAAGTGTTGTCCTCTGGGCTTTCAGCATTGTTTGAGGGAATGCAAGAGGATCACTCAGGGAAAAGCCTCTTGGAAGTACAGGCACAAAGGCAGCTACACACAGTCACATTCAACAGAAATACACGTATTATACATGTAATACATGCTTTTGCTCCAAAACTCCAGAATTTAAACAAGTTGTCTTATCTCAAAATGTGACTATGTGACCAACATACCCAAAGAACATACACAGAAAAATAAAAGTAAAAATTTACTTCATACTTACTTCACAGCCTTACTAAATAAGGACACTGTGTACATTCCCACCTGGCTGGAATTCCTAACCATAAATGCTCCTTCTTTTCCCTGAAAGGAAGGATTATTTTTATTACCATGAAAATGATTTTTTCACATACAACAGTAGAAAAAGAAGTTCTTTTAGATCCACTTTAAATGTCGCCAAGAGCATGTTATCCAACAGTTAGCACAGGAGAACCATAATTAGCTTCCCTCCTTCTCCTACACAATGCCTTCCTCCCTCCCTCCTCTCTCCCTCTCTCTTTCCTTCTTCCCTCCCTCCCTCTTTCCTTCCTTCCTCCCTCTCTCTTTCCCTTTTTCCTTCTTTCCTCTTCCTTCTCTTTCTTTCCTTTCCCTCCCTTCCTCTTCATCTCCTTCTCTCTCCCCTCCCCTTCTTCTCCCCTCCTTCCTCTCTTCCTTTCCTTTTCTTTTCCTTTCCTTCCTTTCCCTCCCTCACTCCCTTCTTCTCTTCCTACTTCCTTTCCTTCCTTGCTTTATTTCCCTTCTCTTTCTTTATGTTCCCTCCCTTCCTCTTCTCCTTCTCTTTCATCCCCTTCTCCTCTTCCTTTCCTTTCTTTTCCCTTTCCTTCTTTTCCCTCCCTCCTTCCTTCCCTCCCTTCCTTACTTTCCTACTGGGAGTAAAACCCAGAGTCTCATGGATATTTAGTAACCACTATACTACTAAAC